CTGTGGAAGGCAAGGGACAAAGCAATTTAGATTGAAGAGAGAACACAGGACAAATTTTTCAGAGAGCTATGTTTCCCCACCTTCAAAGGATTGTTAATTCATACATCAAGCAAGCAAGCAAGCAATTGAACTCAAATGAAGTTCCTAATCAAGAATCTTCTGCATCACATCTACACTGAACTTTAGGGTTTAGCTTTTGGAATCAGACACCATGTCAATTAATTTTCTTTTTATGAAATCTTTTCTACCTTTTATGTTACTGAAGCTTGGAACATCGTGTACCAAAATGCATTCAGAACTTTCTGCCGTTGTCCAACCCACGCTTACCCAGAAAGGTGACCGCTAAATAGACATGAAGTTTTTCATGAGTTTCCTAGTGAAGGCTTCTTTGATTCTTAAGGAGTACCTCCCCGATAGATCAAACACTAACAAAGCATTTTTAGAAACGTCTAATCTTTTCTATCCACTTATCTTTTCATTTCAGGTATATCCAAGGAGCCGCCTCTCCCAAAGACATGCTAATTCTAGTTGATGCGTAAGTGCCAAAAAGGTTCAGCATTCATACCGAGGATTCAAAAGTGTTTTTCATTCTTACAGCAATGAGTGTTAAAAGAAAAAGGGAAAAAATCTGCTTCAGAAAATGTTTTAAAATGGGAAGGCTGAAAAGGATAAGATTTTTATCCGTTTTTATTGTACACCGCCCAGTCATGCTTCTCGTGAGATGGACAGCCATATCAGTAAGATGAATAAATAAATAATATTTGGCTTGATAAGCTTATGAAATGCAACAGAACAAAAGAGTGCTCGCCACTCTTCCTCCCTAAAGAAACTGGTTGAAATCCCAAAGCAGTTTCTAAGGTTGTGTGTGTGTGTGTGTGTGTGTGTGTGTGGAGAGAGACAGACAGAGAGAGACAGAGAAGAAACATTTTCCAAATTATCCCTGAATTGTTTTTGCCCTACAGCAGAACCATTGGACTGTTTGGCCATTATGCAAAAAAATTAAAAAAAAAAAAACAGCTGGGGAATTTTGAGTAGGAATTCAGGAACGGGAAATGTTTAATGAACAGTCTTGGAATCTGCTTTTTGCTTTTAAGCAAAAGGAAGAAATGACCCATATGGCTGCATTATGTGCATTTCAGTCGTTTTTCAGGCACATGTGACGGGATGAAATCCAGCAAACATGATGGGACCCAAAGCGAAAGATTTGTCGGTGAATTAATGAGTGCGGTTGGGATCCTCAGGGAGCGGAGTTCTTTGTGGGCTCGAAATTATGTCCCAGATCTCTTGATGGAGTTCAGCATTGCTAAATTGTCATCTCCTTTCCAACCCCCTTTAAGCACTTCTCATCCATTATTTATTCTCCCCCCATAGAGATTATTTCATGCTTGTGTTTTCTTCCTTCCTTCCTCTCTCTGGTGATATGTGTAAAAGTCATTTTAAGTGACAACAAAAACAATTAAAAGGAGATAAGTAAACATTGCAGGTAACATGAGGGTTGTGTTTTTTTTTCCAGAAGTAGAAATATTGATTTGCCTTTCCATTTTTTTCTTCTGCCAGATGTTTTCATCAAGCAGTGCTAAGGAAATTGATATGAAATGATGCCATAATAAATGTTGAGCTACAATCTGGAGGCTGTTCTTGTTCAGAGCAGCTTCATTTCTGCTTTTCCTGAACCTTTTCTTTAGAAGGTCACTCCCTTGGAATCATGGATGTCCGCAGCAGGGGGGGGGGGGCGGGGGGGAAGGGGGGGGGTCAGAAAATCAAAA